CTCCTCAGTTCAAACATACTTAGGTCCTTAAGAAAAGCACACTAACACAAGATTTTAATTTTTAAAAAATTTGTAAAATATTACTTAACATCAAATTCATTCCTTCAGGCTAATTCATTAACTAAAAGTTTATTTCTGTATGTCTTAAGAGTATTATTCAGAACGCGGATGCTTAGTTTAGTAACACAGCACACAGCAGCCTCATAATCAGCACCACTGAATTGCAACTCTGTGATTTGCTGTCCATGGGGTCATGAAGATTCGGACACGACTTAGCAACTAAACAACAACAATAAACAACCCCTAACTACTGAAACACATAGTAAAAAGAACAAACCGGCTCTGATGTACAAGGAAGGAATTCAGATTCTATCGCTAGAGCTCAACCAAATCAAGATTTCTGAAGATAATTAACAGATTCAAGCTACAGAACATTTTTAAAACTGAAAAAGGCCCCTAATGCCCTCTAAAATGGCAATTGATTTTGGATGGAAAAGGTGCTGAAGGCCCCCAAGTATGGAAACATTCTCTCTCTCTCTCTTTCTCTCTCAGACACAAGAGAACATTCTTGAGCAAAAATTTCTTTGCAGTTTTCACAGAAATGGGGTGGAGTGGAACATGGGGGGCTGGGCCCCCCAGGAATGCTGAGAACCCATACTGGGGCTGGAAGGACCCCAGGGGCCACACATGTCCCATTCAAATTTTAGGAGATTGTTTCTTTATTTTTAATAAGTTAACTATTTGTCATTAAACACCAAGATGTTGTTGCTAATGTCTTCAATGAGGAATAGGTGACTCTGATAGCTTCTTTTCCCCACACACATTTATTTAAAAAAATCAGCTAAAACCCTAATTCAGAGGTGAATTGCTTCAAGTTAACTTGGAAGGATGTTTTCTTTTCCTTGAATCAAATACAGTGTGCTCTGGTCCATGGGGTCACGAAGAGTCGGACACGACTAAACGACTAAACACACACAACTTGGTGCTCTGTTTTCGTTTCCTTGAATCAAATACAGTACTAAGAGGGGGAGCCTAAAAAAGAGAGATTCTTTCCTACAGTTATAGGTAGGAATATGTGTGCAGCAAGAAAAGAAAAAAGAGAGAAAAAGAACAGCACCGCTATTATACAGGCCATGATACAGACAGACTTCTTTATAAAGGTTCTTTATAAAGGTAAGCTTTTTCCTGCACCAAAGACCCAGCCTTAAAAATACCCCTTTTTGTTACATGCAAGTAATAGTAAGTCTTCCCAAGATTTGTGTAACACATTATATGTATGACATTTTTTAAAAAGCTATACATTTATAACTTAATGTATAAAATAACCTGGCATACAGGAGATCAAAAGAAACAATTTCTACCAATATGCATCCAAAATCATGGCTCCAAGTTCCACTGAAGTACATGCATTCTTCAGTGGAACAAAGACTTATCAAAATCCATAACTTAACTACACAGGAAGAAAGGAAAGAAGGAGACTGCATGCAAATCTTCAGTTAAAAATAATCTCAGCCAAACAAACCAAAGCTTTAAAAAGACTCCTTATTTTAAAAAGAAAAAAAAAACAGGGCAAATCTTGAGTTGGCAAGCTATTCTTTCCTTCTCTATTCTTTTCACAAGTGTTCTGAACTGGAAGCATTCGGGGGAGGGGAGGTACAGCTACAGAGGCAATATTTTCTAGAATGGTTTTCCATTTATTTGGTCTTAACTCAGAGTATTAACTATATGCTTGTCTCCAATGTGTCAAAAAAAAAAGCTTATCTCCTATTGTTCAGGCATGCCCCCCCATTTGAGAGGCTACAGTGAGCAGCACAACAGTACTAACATATGCTTGTCTCCAATGTGTCAAAAAAAAGAGAAAAGCTTATCTCCTAGTGTTCAGGCATGCCCCCCCATTTGAAAGGCTACAGTGAGCAGCACAACGGTACTAAGAGAGCAACTAATGTTCTGAGAGGTGTGGTCCAAAAAGGTAATGTTTCCAAGGTTTGATAACTACCTAATTATTAGCAGGTGGGGAGTTGCCACTTCTGTGATAATTTACATATTCTTAGTAGTGTCTAAAATCTTGATTTAACTGCAATCAAGGTTTTAGACACCTTGATTGCACCTGTGAGGGCAAAAGCATACATTATAGATATCCCATCATTAGAAGAGTCCTTAAGGGCTGACTACATATGAGTGTCACACCAGTAGCTTCTTTCACTTCCCAGAATTTGCAAATCAGCTCCCTTTATTTTGACAATAACTCTCAGATCCTAAACACAATATTGCTTTGAAATCTGATTTATTAAACAGGATAGAGTGCTTTCATCAGGAGAACAGTGCCAGTCATTATAAGCTACCTGCAACATCTCTGTCTCTCCTAAGGGTTTTGCAGAATAGTGCATGTACAATAATATCCTAAATTCATTAATATTATACATGAAAAGAACAGCTTGGTATTGATACATAAATGGTGCAGGTCATTTGTACCTGCATAATCAGAAATGCATAATTTTCTGCATTTTTGAAGGTTGTTCACATTCCTTCTCTGCTGCTGCTGCACCACACACATCATCTTGATTTTTTAAAAAAGCAAACAGTTGCATTTAATTTGTGCCCCTCCCCTCCCTGCTTATTCCACAAAGCTGCCAAGCTGGAACAGAAAACCACACTATGGGCTCCAGTACAAGCTCTAGCACAAAATAACACAATGCTTTGGGAAGTTCAGCTGCAAAAACCTTACTGAAATAAACCGCACTGTTCTGCTGCAGCTCCCATTCATTTCAAGAGGAGGTAAGTAGTTGTGCAGCCTGGTGGATTCTGACATTCCCAAATGTTTCTAAGAGCCTGGAATCCTGAGATATTCTCAGAAATTGCCTCAGCTGTCTACCAATACCAGTCAGCCTTCTGTCATGCCGCTGAGGCAAAAAGTCACTCACCTCGTAGACATTAAATTGGCTTTGCCCTCGTGCCAATTCTCGATAGCTGGTTGTAAACTCCCCAATGAAATCGTGGCTGTTGGTAGAATAAAAGATATTTTGTTTTCCACCATCCTGGACAGGACTCTGTTGCAACTGAATAATAATAACAATCCCACCAAATGAATGACAATATAATCTGCTCATCTCTATTTCTCCCTCGTCCCATAATTTATCTATCTTTTGTATGACTTGAGGTGAGAGGGATGCGGAACATTATCTATCACAAGGCAGACAGTTGCATAGATTTTGTGTCTACCAAAGCTTTGGGGGAAAAAGAGAGTTTTGGGATGGCACCTCCCACAATTGCCCAGGGGACTATCCTTCAGTGGCCCCAAATTAGTAAAACTTAGTAATAATAACTATAATTTTCAGAGCTCTGCCCCTAACAGTTCAGAAGATTAAGGTTGATTTAAACGTGTGTAAATGAAATTGCAGAAGTCTTAGAGGCAAACTGCTGCTCATTAATGAGGTACTGGTTGCATTCCTGGGTGTGCACCTGATAGCCTGTCCAAGAATACAAACTGCATCTCACTAAGGAGCAACAATTTCCTGTTGCAACTTAGATGATTTTCCTTACACAGGTGTAAATCGGCACTAGAGCTCTGGCTTCTTGATATGCTGGTTAATAGAACCAAAGCATGGTCTTCTTCATAAGGTTTTATTATTCATTTTTCTTGGTTTTTACAGGACTTTCAAGCACACCACAATCCTTCATAGTAAATAATTATGTGTTATATAGTCAATTCAGTCAAGGCAGGTTTTCTGAAATAATTTACCAGCCCCTCCTTCTAGCAATTATCTGGACAGTACACTACACAGGTGGCTGGATAAATAGCCCCATCAGTTACACATACTCTAGATTTTATTGGCCAGTGCCCTTTCCAGGAGGCACAGAAGGGATTTGAACTCTTGCCCCATGTGCTCCAATGCAGTGATCTACATCAGTTCCTACACAGTTTTTGACATATTCTTTTTCTTTTACTGTTCTTTTAATTCAGTACTTTCAAGACAGAAAGTAATATTTTCAAAATTCAAAGAGCCCGAATGCCACTTACCTTCCATCTCGGTCCCAGTCATACACTTCCACTTTAATGGTTCTGAAAAAATTATGAAATGGACAGTCATTCCCAACACAAGTTACTATTCCCATTGCTACTACAGTACTTCAGTTTCTTTCTCTTTGTGGAAACCACTGACAAGAAACATGTCAAGGTGTGTGTACATTAGAGAGAAAAAAAATTGCCTTTTCCAATAAAAATGAAATGGAGAGGACTTCATTCCAGACCAGTACTACAACATACAAGGTTTTCTATAAATTTGCCTTTATAAGGGAATTTCACAGGAAATACTTCTCTTTCTCCCAGGCCACTCCACCCAGGACTCAAAGCATGCTGGTTAGTTTAAACCTACTGTCTGGCCATCTGTGGGATGTTCTGCAGAGCAAACCCAGTGAATTTGCTAACTGAAGTGAATACCAAGATGGCACCCCTCCCCTCATGCTAGCTGAACCGGAAGAAAATATTGGTTGAACAATGGAAGTGGAACAAGCATCCTACAGCAACCTGAGGGCAGAAGGGCAGTCTGGCTTTAAGACCCAGAGATTGGAAATTTGCCAAGGGAGCACAGGAGGAAAATCCATGAGTAGACTACTGACAACCCCCAGTACTTGCTGCCTTTGTCCCCCACTCTGTCTAATAGAAGGGTTGATCCTGATCCAGAGGCACACTGTTATCAGTATGTCACATATAGCTATTAGTTATGTGTAACCATTAGTTAAAGCTCCCAATATCCTATTCCGATACTTTGAGGCAGTAATGAGCTGATCCATGTAGGCATCCTTCATTCTCGAGAGACTATGGTAACACACTCTGTATGGAGGTCTTGGGACAGCGTCTAGTGTGGCTGAGAAGGCCAATTCGAGAGTGACAATCCCTTCAACACTGAAGACAAATACAATCTGTCCCCTGTCCAGCTCCTGATTTTGCTGGTTTGGGGACTGCCTCTTTGCCTCAGCCTGCTTGACAAGTGGCTTTAAAAGACAAGTAATTATAAACGTTAGTTTACCTTTTGTCCCTAAACCATAAAGAAATCAGAATACAGCCAAAGACATTCTCATATGTCACAACTGCATCTGGAAAATTAAACTTTAAGCAATTGAAACTTTGATGAACTGGAAAATTTATTTATTTATTTTATTTATTTATTTCATTTATACCCCGCCTATCTAGTCAATTGTGACCACAATATAACAAGAATATAACAAGAATATAACAAACTTTGCCATCTTCTAGTTTATAGCATTTGACCTAAGCAGCTGGCTTACAGTGACACTGGGTATGCTCACTGCCACTATGAGGGCTATGAAGATCCTAGTTACAATCACTTTCTCATTTATTCTCTTCTTTATTCCTCAGCCGCCGGGTAGGTGGGGCTCGTCAGCCATGGAAGGCAGCCCATCTAGGAGAAGGAAAACTCCAATTTCAAACCTCCACTGCCTTGTGGCTATATCCATTCATGGAAAAGGCTTCAGGAGTTAACCTCGAGGCAAAATCCGGAGCTGGAGTCCCGAAGGCAGCATGTGTCGTTCTGCCAACTCCTGCGACATTGCTGGAACCAGTTGTATTGGCTCTTGCCTTTCCATTGGATCATTTCAGCAATGTGGAGAGGGGGGATCTGCTGCTTGGGTAACAGCCTATCCTCCATATTACCTTACCCGGGCTTCATGCTCTGGAGAGGACACTCCTCGATTCAGAGCATGTTACCATAGTCTCTTGAGACTGAAGGATGCCTATGCCTATGCCTATGTCCTCAGCCACTGGAGACTGTTGTCAAGAAATGCTCCTGGCTAGCTCACTTTCTACACTTCGATCAGGAGAGTGACAGCAATTAAATTGCCCCGGGCTCCATGAATGTTGACAGATGAGGTGACATTTGAATTCTCAGGGGCCTTGGCATGAGTGGAGACCTTACATTACACTTTGAGTGCCAATTTGAGCTCATTTGCCGATCCTGTGCCACATCCCTAGTGACCTTTGGAATTGCTTTCTAAATATTTTTCAGGGCTTCTTCAAGCCAGCCAGCCTCGGAGCAAACTACTGCGTAGGCCAGGAAAGCTGTGGACAGAATTGTAAAATATGCAGGAGGGCTGAATAAAAAAAGGAAGAGTCAGAAATAGATTGTTATTCCTGAAAAGAGAATAATGATAAGAGTAGGCAGCATATAACAATGAAAAGCACTCTTTAAGATGGAAGAATGTAAGCCCTTAGCTGAGTGGTATTTCAAAATAAAGTATTCAATGAACTCAGTAAAAACAGCAGCTGTTAAGTACTCTGTCTTCCTGTGAACTAGATGCAGACTTGACACAAAAGCCATCAGAAACTCAATGGTTTTTTACATTCTTGCCAAGAAGCTGAGCCACAGTCATGCCCAACTGCCAGATAAGTTTCTAGTGACCATGAACATGGCCTGTGAATGGCTCAGTTCAGAATGCATGCGGGCATGAATCTTTTTGGAACATTAAACTGGTTCAAAAACACACTTTGCCCTTGAACAAACATGTTTTAACTCCAGCTAATAAATGTCATACAGAATGTGCTAAAACGGTAATTGATATCCACACATTGACTCAAAGAGAGTCTATGAATTAAGTTCTTTTTACAAAACTAAAATCTGCATTGACCTCAACCCTGAAACAGGTATTTGTGCCTGCTTGTATGCGATGGCTGTATGGTACCTCCAGCATCAGATCTAGTATGAACTACCAGTTGTTGGGCAAAGATAGCAGGAAGATGTTGTTGCATTTGTAGCCTTCTCACGACGGCCACTATGGAAACAGAATGCAGAAGCAGATAAGACTTCAGTCTGACATAGGAGGGTGCTTTTGTGAATAATAGTGCACTTAGTGTGCATATGTGTGTCTGTGTCAATAAAATGTGTGTGAATAGAGTGAAGGGGGTTGAGTGTGTGAATGCTGTGCACGCATGTGAAGCCAGCAGTGGCCCCAGTCACTGGGCCATAGCCTAACCTACCCCCCTTGCTATCATGTTATCCCAGATGTCCCAGCCAATCGGCCTTGGGGCAAAAAATGGTTTACCAGCCCTGTTCTAAAAAGAAGTATAAAAAACAAATATGAGAATAGGTCTTCAATGGTGACACATTAAAGTGCCTGCTTTCAGTTATTATGAGTAAATATTGACACATTTCTCTGAATGGCTGCCCAGATCTCATTAGTTTGCTCCCCCTGGAGAATTAGGGCTGGGAGAGGCATTATTCTGTTGGCAGGGCCCTTGCTGGAGATGGTCAGCAGTGAACTGCGGATGCTATTTGCTGACAAACACCCTGAATGGAGTTTACAATGCCAAAAGTATGTCTTGCATGTGGCGTGTTCCTGTTCAGAATACCCATCAGCCAGCTTGCCATGCCTTTTTCCTCAGAAAATTCATTCCACTTCACCACTCCTGGACATCTTCCATCACCCCATCCATACATACAGCATAATTTTTAAAAAATGCAACATTTTTGTTTCTCTTCTTTAGGTCCAGAATCAGATCCACTCCAGGATCTAGCCATCCACCCACTGTCATTTTCAACCACTGAACATGGAAAAGGTTAATATTTTAAAGCACACTTTCAATCAGGGAACAGAATGAGGAGAAGATTGCGTTTGTTGTCTCGATCTTGGTCCCAGTGTCACATGTTTCCATGGCAACGAAAGCTAAAAATATACCACCTAAAAATGGGGGGGAAAGGCCCACGCAGCAGTCAAAACAAACTAATTAAAGACCCAGTGCAGGAATTGCAAGGATAATGAGGGGGAGAAGTCATTTTAATAATTTGCTTGGACTTGTTCAGGTTCAGATGAACTAAGGGGAAAATGGAGATGAATAATAGGTTTGGGGGACTGTATGCCAAATTTTTCATCAATGAGAATGGAACAGCGGCTTTGTTTTACTGCTGAACAATGTACTTCAAGCCACATTGCCATGAGAATGTGCTCAAGTACAGAATGACCGCTGGAGACTTTTACCTATCTGACATTGCTTTGGGATTAAGGCATAGAATACACAAGATCTCCACAGAAATACAGGGCCTCTTCTACCTGATAGTAACCCAACTTAGGCACCTCATATGCTTTAGGAGCAATCACATTTTCAAAACAGAACTACAAATAATACACCTTCCCTCCACAGGTGCACACACAGACACATGCATTGCTTTAGCAAATTACTAATACTGACCCCAAGGAAAACATATCCCACAGTTATTATAAATATAAACCATTTTTCTGTTGTCACTCTAAATCATCTTAAGAGTAAAGAAAATACAAAAAAGTAAAATCATTAAACACATCAAAATAAAACAACTAAACGATCCAACTAGATATACTGCTGGTAAGGAGGGGGTTCATGAAGGCATAAAAAAACCTCAAATATGAATACTGCTTGTTTTCTCCTCATCAAAGTATTAGTAGATTTGACCAACAACAAACTCAAATGTAGAAACATAAATGAAGAAAGAAGGAGATGACAGGAGAAATATTAGAGTGAGTGGAAGAGAGACAAAAGAAGAAAAACAAAGACATCAAGTGCAGAGAATTTCATAAGAACTACTGAAACAAATTTAGCAACACTAAAGAAAAATAGTGCAAACAGGGTTCAGAAGCAGGAAACTTGGAGAAGATCTATGACTCCTTTAAAATGCATAAAAAAGATCAGCAGGCATATTAAAACAGTATTGATGCATATTAATCATTCTGTGATATTTAACATCAAGGGTAAATTTATGGTGTGGATTGAGCATCTCCAAGAGCTATTTGAAGACAATGAATCATGAAAATATATTCTGTCAGGTGTGGATACTGGTTTGGAAATACAGGAATTGAAAATGCAATATGGGTGAGAAAAAATGGCAAATCTCCATGATGATGAATTCAGAAGTTTTAAAACTAAGAAAAGATGACAACCTAGATGTTAGTCAAACTTTTCAGCTAAATCTACAGAACAGGAATTGTTTCTAAAATCTGGTTTTATTACAGTACCCAAAAAGAAAATGTAAAAAATTGCAATGACTACAGAACAGTAAGTTTTATGAGCCGTTT